AAGAGGTCCCAACTCTCCACAACAGACATGTAGAACATAAGTAGCATCTTGCTGCAAACGCTGAAGGACCTAAGCTTCCTTACGAAGTATAATGTGCTCTCTCTGTCCCTTCTTAAGACACATATGGGCAACAAGGGGTTGAAATAAATTAACAGGAAGCACAAACAAACCCAGCAGCACTAAAGTAAACTTTATTTTCTCCTAAATGACAGACGTTCACAGTTATTAAGACATTAATGTGTTCTTTTCCTTTTATTGGTGCCACCATTATCTAATTTTCCTATCGAATGCACACATTTTTCTATTCCCCTATGACTGCTTATCTATCTCCTCATTTTTCTTGTCAGAACTTTTCCCTGTAATTCCACTTATCTATACATCAATCCAAAGATAACCTATTGTGTTTTCTGCAGTCCCTGTCCTCAGCTCTATTTTTATGTATCTGTAAATCCCTCTCTATACTCTCTGCAGCAAGTAGGATGATCGTACAGTACAGGTGGGAAGATCTTGGGAGGAAGGATTGACAAAGTGTGCACTGCTGTAACGGATATTAAAATATATTCCTCTTGTGTGGAGATAGTGATGATCCGGGGAACGATAGAGCAAGATAATGAAAAGAGGAACAAAAGTACTCCCCATGCGGAGTGTTTGACCCCCCTCCCCCCCATCCCTCCTTCCCCTTCTCCAGTCGCACTCATTTACATAGTAATCATCCCAAACGCTGCATGGGGGCTTGGGAGACAGAAAGAGGGGACCCGAAAGAAAGAGATAGATGGATAGATGCGTAGATATAAGGAATGATTTGTGAGTGAGGGAGGTGCAGAACAAGATGCATTTATATTTCTTGAAAGGTCTGTGGGGTGCATGAGCATGCTTGTGTGTCTATCAACAGCAAATATATTTGTTGCTTTTGAATTCACGGTAATAAAAGAAACATCAAATGTATACTGTGCATGAATGAAGCCCTTCATGAAGGGTGTGATACATTTCTGAATGTTTTTCCACTTAAAATCATGTGTTTGTGTGTGCATGTATGCATTTGAGAGAGAGAGAGAGTGAGGGGGGTGTTTGCTTTTGGCTTATTTTCCACCCAGGTTGATGAACAGATGAGGTTGTCCTGGCAACGAGATGAGACGCAGATATGTAAATGAGGCTGGAGGGTGAGCTTGCATGCACACACACTGCAGTATGAGAGAGATAATTTCATGCACGTCTTGCTGAGACTGCAGCAATAGGCCTCAAACACACACACAGAGAAACACAGATATGCATGTAGAAACTCCGAAAAAATATTAATGACATTGCCATCATTCACATGACACAATGGTCCACAAAGGAAGGTAATTCTTTTAAGACCTGGTCTACCTACCTCTTACTAGTTTTTATAAATATTTCATGACCGAAATCCAATGCACCCCCTTGTAACTCACCGGTTGGCCAGAGCCGGGGCTGGAGCAGTAGATTGTGTACTTGCGGATAATTCCATTTGGCTTGTGAGGGGGTAACCAAGACACTACCACACTGCTGGCAGAGGAGGGCACTGCTTTAATTCCAGCTGGGGGTCCAGGATCTGAATCATATGAGGGAAAATGAAACAGTCACCCCAAGGCATTTATTGCACATCCAAATTCTCATGATTGATCAATTTTATTTTCTATTGGTGTAAAATGAATGATTGTGGACTTTTATAAAGTAGTGTTTGCATAAAGATGTTGCATAAATTATGTAGCCAAGACTATCTAATCTGATTCTGTTTTTTTATTTTGGATAGGTGGTATGCTTGGCCCAAGGTTTCCGTGATAAGCTGTGTGTTTTTCATGGCTAGCTCGAACCATTTGCGTCCAACTTCGCAAGCTCTAATGAGATTTTTCTTCTTTTCCTCTGCCGCTAGCATGCATCGACAAACACTAGCTATGCATATAGTCAGCACATGTCTAGGTCTATGCAGGACTGTGCTGAATTTTCCACCTCTTTCCCTGTGTGCCTCAAATTCAAACAATGTCCCACATTTGACTGTGTCAGTTTATGAACACTCATAAAATTGGCATTCAATGGCCATTTTTAAATTTAAAGAATGCAGAGCTTCAGAAACGGCTACGGAGCTGGGCCAGCTGTCAAAAAAAGTACAAAGCAGCAGCCTACTTTCTTAATGACCTCTGCACAATGCGCTTAAAAAATATTGTAATAAAAAGACATATGATAAAAACTATGTTTAAGGAAAATTAAAATCCTGCAAAGGAGAATGGGGTGGTTTACAAAATGGTGAATGCAGTAGCAAGGTGCTTTTTTTGCCAACATTTTTTATATTTCATAAAGAGGTGGATGCAATAAATTGAACATGTACTGCCTTTTCCCTCCTAACATCCATTAGTGTTTTCAAGCTCAAAGAGGCTCTGTATTCCACTTTATCTGTCTTATGTAATAATGAACTCCTTACATTGGTAAAGTACACTGTTTATTGAAATGTGTGCTGGTCCAAGCCTACCCCACTTCCTATACATGCACTTTGTTTCTGAAAAGGGCAAAACTGTCTCTTTTGACTTGTGATTAAGAGATTTGACTTTGTATTTTCCTCGAAACATACATGTTTTTTTCCCTTACCTTGTCTCCTTTCCGCTGCCAATCCCCAATTGCTGCATAAGTGCAACGAAAGAGGTCTATCTCATTTGGAGCTATGCAATCAAAGCTGCAGAGAATAGCTTGCAGTCTGACCAGTCACATGCATTTTAAATGACCAGCACATTATAGGTCCGAACTCCAGACACGATTTACCATCTGATGAAAATTGGATGGTATGAGGTTGTGGCACTTAGAGCTCATAGATAGCTAACCTGTGGGACTCTGGGACGGTGATGAAAAATGTGGCACAGTTCTGCGTAGATTGGGATCTGCTCACCCTTTGAGTAGTATGAGCCTCTCTATATACTACACTGCAGCTATTGTTATAGAAAACAAATAGAATCAGAGCTAGGCATAGTCAGATGGAACCAAGGTGACCTGGCCTTAAGTTATCACCATAACATTTTTGTATTTGGTTTTAATTTCTCATTCAGTGTTCATCTGGGTCTGTGCAACTGGGGACTTTTTTTGTGTTGTTGGGGACTTCAAAGACAACATGTGAAAGCACTGAAGATGCATTGAAGAGAGAAGTGTTTCCCCTGCACTAAAATGCTCTCCAGTGTCTGCAGTTTCATCTGATCAGGTCATGTCAGAAGTTGATAACCACTAAAGGGGTCATAGAATGCAAAACAGAATTTATATTGTGATAGATTAATAACGATAGTTCAGTGGGTGAAATGAACATACAGAGAAGTTCAATCCCCATCGACACCTCCTTTCTCTGCAAATCTCACAATTCTAAACTTCCACCATAAAATGGGCAAATTCAGAATGTTGCCTTATGTGGTTCTGGCCTTTACTTCTGTCATGCCCCAAAATCGACATACAGAACAGCCCACTGGTTCACTGGCCAAGGGGGCGACTGCACTGTAGTAGACCAAACTCCTGGACGATTTTGAAATTCCCCCCAGACATTTTTTTATGTTTGAAAAGGAGGACATGTCTGACAAAAAGGGAACGTCTGATCACCCTACCATATCAACAATTTTAATGTTTTAGTGAGTGAGTGCTTGTTGCTATGATGCGTCTTTACTCAGCAGCTTCGCTGCCAATCAGAGCACGGCTCATCTAAATATTCATGAGCATACCATAAAAGGACGAAAACCTGTCGTTTCCTTCTAAGGCTTTTAACCAGGCTTGCATTAGGGCTCATAGAACAGCAAATATGCCTATTTCAGCCCAACCAATGTTAAACACTGTATTCAGAGACCTTGAGAACCAGCACCAAATACCCTATAGAATCATTCTATGACCCCAAAAAGCTTTTTTTCCCAATAAATTTCCCATATTCCAAAACAAAAACAACCACTGGACTTTGTTTCGAAGTTTGAAGACAGTTTGCTTCCCATCCAGGAAGCTTTTTCAATTAAAATTACAGAAATAGCGTTGAGTTGCTTTATACAGTAGCCCAACAAAGCCTTAATTTTGCTTAGACAACATGCACATTGAAATGGAAATGGGTCCATCCCTTTGGAATAGGGGTCGTTTGGCTTCTTTTGCCCCATACCTGTCTCGCTAATGTCTGATCAAAATGCTCAGTTTCAAAATATTGCCCTTTATGAGGTCATTTTGGGAAATAACCATTCGCCTCATCTGAGCCTGCCCTCTAGCAGGTGCTTTCTCGAAGCTCACCGTCACCAAGCATCCAAACAGACAGGGCTAAGCAAAGAGCTAAGTGCAGCAGCTGCTCTGTTAATGGCTGCAACAACGAGACATTTCTTTTTTACTGCCTTCATCTGAGCCCTCAAAGACGCATAGATTCTATTTTTTAAGGAAATCTACCTGCTAAACTTCCGAAAGCCTTTCATCTTTGCACTGAGCATTTCAAAGAGGATTGCTTTTACAACATTTTTGCAAACACAGCAGGCCTCTCCACACACCTAACTTCAGCTATTTTACCTCATAGCACCCTAAAAAACAAAAAAAAAGGAGAAAATACCTCTGGGTCACTAGGGCCTTAATGATTTCTGTGGTAAAAACAATGCAAATAATTGAAAATGTTAAATTTTCTTAAGCTTACTGTCCAGTGCGTTTGAACATATATATTTAGAGCAAAAATAAACAAATGTCAGACTGAGAAATGCCTGTTTGAACAATTATTTTGCAAACACTTCTCCATGTGTTACAGACAACACTGAGGTCAGAGAAAAGTGTTTAGGCTAAGACAGGCAGATAACATTTGTGAAGTAGTTGCCCCAAGACACACTGTCAACACAAATCAAGGGTGAAAAGAAAGACTTGGACAGACAAACACTCAAAGACTGAGAAAATACACACATCTGAGGAGCTCTTTCACTAAGGCCAGTTAATACATGGAATGGAAATATGGCAAAGCTAAAGGCCTTTTTTGAAATGACACTCCTTAGAATCTTGCTTCCCCTCTCTCTTGTGCTCTCTCATTTTCTCCATCTCAAGACGCCTGCCTCCTCTGCTGACTGACCCTAGGGATGGAGAGGAGAGGCGGATACGGATGTAATCCACAGCCCGCCAGTGTAAGCACAAAATTAATTCTCTCTAAACCACAAAGAATTAATCCCTTTCCTCCTGCTTCTTTGTGAGCTAGACTTGCACAAACACCAATGAACGTGCACACACGCAGTGCTATGTGCACATCACCTTAAAGACATGTCTACATGTAAAGACGCTTTTAACACACCGAATGCACACACATATGCACACACACGGACTGACACCCTTAGGGTTCTTAGCCGCACACACTTTTTGGCTTTTTAATTTTCATTAGCACTAGTAATGGCACATCAGAGCACAAAGAGGTTGTTAATCAGCAACCTCAGCCTAACAAAGACCCCCTCTACACCCGCTGGCTCCCTGCCTCCCACACTGCTGCCTAAACCGAGAGGAAAAAAAATCCTTAAAACTGCTTCAAAAACAGGGTCAAGGCAAATTAAACATTATTGCAGGTAATAATAACTTGGTTTATTTAAGTTGATACAGCAACTCAATACAAACTTACAGTCTTCACGGGTTTGGATGTACAGGACGTTGCTCCGAACACCATCCCCTGCCTGGGTGAAGGCCAGCACCTGGATGCTGTAGTTGGTAAACTTTTCCAGGCCTTTAAGCTCCACTTGTTCTTTTGTGGTTGTTATGTTTTGCATTTCACTCCACTCTGAGAATGGAAAGGGCAAAGATTTGAGTGAAAATTAAAACATTAAATAATCAAAATTTTTACGTTTTCATACAAGATGGTATTTTTATTGACATCACTGAGAAGCAACAGGATACGATCATCCTTTAATTATTTGTTATTACATCATGTAAAACTATAAACTTCTAAAATATCCTATTTATCTTTTTAGAAATTTATTAGAGGAAAAAAACTTTCGAACGGGCAGACTCATTGATTGATTGAGTAATTGATTGATTGATTGATTACCTCCATCTGGGAAAACAGCCCAGAACACAACACGATATCCTTTTAATACACCATGGAGAGTCATTCTAGGAGGCTCTGCCCAGTTGATCACTGCCTGGTCTGATGTAACAGAGATGGCTCGTACATTCTGAGGAGGCTGACTGGGCACTAAAAAAGAAAGGACAAAAGTAAATGTTTACAGATATGTCTAAAATTTTAAATAAACACAACAGATATTTTCCAATAAATACTTTAAATTCCAGAAACTTCTCTATATATATATGTTATATGGACATCAGAGAAACAATACAGGACACAAAAAGGTTTTGTCTATTGTCTAAAGGTTTTGTCTCCATATAAGTCCTTCTCAAAATATTAGCATATTGTGATAAAGTTAATTATTTTCCATAATGTAATGATAAAACTTGAACATTCATATATTTTAGATTCATTGCACACTAACTGAAATGTTTCACTTCTTTTATTGTCTTAATACGGATGATTTTGGCATACAATCTAAAAGCATTTAATAATATAAACCATCTAACTATTTTATCTAAGTTTTACATAATCAATAATCCATCCATCCTTCCATTTCTTGTAACGCTTATCCTAAGCAGGGTCAGGAGGGATGCTGATACCTATCTCCAGTCTATGGGCGAGAGGCGGGGTACACCCTGGACAGGTCGCCAGTATATTGGAGGGCAACCAACCATTCATGCACATACTCACACCTAAGGAGGATTTAGAGAAGCCAATTAACCTAACAGTATTTTTTTGGACTGTAGGAGGACGCTGGAGTACCCAGAGAGAACCCATGCATGCTCAGAGAGAACATGCAAACTCCATGCAGAAAGACTCCGATCGAACCCGCAAGGCAGCAGTGCTACCCACTGCACTACCGAGAAGCCCATATAACCAATAATCTTTTAAGAAATCAAATATCTGACACAAATCTCTAATTGGTGTATTTCTTCAAACGATAATGCCAATGCAGGCACAAACAGTAAAATCTAACTCTTAACAGAAAGGCCATTACACATAAAAAATAATACAGAAACACAGTTCTCAGTATTCTGTAAAGGACTAATTAGCAAAAAAATTCCCTTTAAGTGTATCTGGTAAATGAAATAATATACCATTTCACCATGGTTTTCACCTATCGAAAATATTAATCATGTGGTTAATTGAAAAAATAGATGAGAACACTTTTTTGGTAACACCTACTGGACAATTTCACAGTCAACCTAAAGTGGGTGAACAGAGTAGTAATTGATAAACACAACAACAACAAAACCCCTCCATGTGCTTGACTTTGATCTACAGGAGAATCTCTCTTTCTTTATACAGGCCCCACTCTGTTTCCTCCAGTCCAGGTGTCTTAGCTTTTGGCTGCCACTGACCACTAGCCATTCAGGCTTTGAATTACTCCCACTGTTGAAGATGAACAGAAGTCAACTTGTGAGAGGGGTATGGACAGGAAGAGAGGAAGAGGGTTGACTAAAAGACAGCATGCAATCGAAAAAGGACACTGCGCCAAGTCCACCAGAGAATTTCACTGCAGCTGGTGGGGAGAAAAGGAAGTTGGGAGGAGGATGGAGGAAGGGAGGCAGAAAATAAACGAGGGTAAGAAAACAAAACAGCTATGCATTAATAGACCTCTGAAGTAAATGATAGCTAATGAGGACGCATCAAAAGATAGCACAGAGGCTATTTAAAAATTAGAATGCAAGCAAAAATGTTGATGCCTAAAACATCAATTTTCTTAGCTTTTATTCTGTTCCTTACCAGATTCAAAGGTTTGTCAGAATTATTAGAAAGATAAACATGAAAACTAATATATATATTTTTAGTTTAGTTTTAGTGAAAAACTGCATATATATAGAAAGGCCCTTGTGTATAAATCTAGAATCAGGGGTAGATGGGGAAAACGGGCAGAGAAAGAAGAGGGTATTGAGGAGGACAGTTAAAAGCAAAGGGGAGAAAGATGAAAAGAGGTAGCAGAGAGACAAAGCACTCAGCTGTGGATAATTACAGCAGGAAACCAGGAGAGGGAAAGAGAGAACGACAGACAGAGAGACAAGCTAATTATAATTATTTTTAGTATGCTTGTTGGCATCATTATTATCATAATGGCCATCGATATCACTGTCGCCAGGGTTACAACCACAGGAAGGAACTAGAGGGGCTATGTCTCCTCTATAGACCAATGAGACCCAGCAAACTGTGGACAAATACGACTGTATTTATACATTCATGTGTTTTTTATATTATTAAGAATATTGGGACCTGAATTAAAAATAGACTGAAAAAAATATAATGTAGTACAACACTGAGAGCAATTGCATGAAATTAAATCAACTACCGGTAAGATGATGTTGCTTAAGGAAAAATCATTTAATTTTACTTTACCAATTCATGTGTGTTCTTGTTTTTGTGGCTGAAAGTTAATCAATGTTATTTAGCTTTAATTTTAGTTTGCAGTAAAAAAAAAAGTAAAAAAAAAAAAAATAAATTCCATCAGTTGTATGAAAATGCTAGAGATTACATTTAATTCATTTTGTGCCAAACTTTTTCAGGAAGGCAATTTGGAAAGTTGTGAATCAACCATGCATTCATTTTATTTTTTAGCCATTTAGAATTTTAGCCTACCTGCTCTATACTGTATGTGTGTAAGAATTAACCATGCCCAATCAAATGAGGAATTTTGGTTATATGTAAACTGGTTCCACTGCTAAACTGGTCTAGAGTTTTCTCAGCACCAAGTAATGAGATACTTGAGAGAGCAACACCTTTTCAGTTCCAAACCAAGGCACTAGAAACCTGGTTATCTCTCATGCAATTGAAAACAAAATCTGTCATGTTCAACTGTCTCTAGCTCACTTTGATCTTTCAAAAAAATACAGTAAATGAAATACATTTACTAAGAACGTTACAACAAATTTTTATGTTTTTTTTTTTAGGTTTGAGGAAAGACATTGTTATCAATTTTTTATTAAATCTTTGTCAAGCTTAAAAAAAACTATGTGAACTGTTGGAAAGTGCAGTTGAAAACATTTCTTTTCCTAATTGCATCGTCATTAAAAGAGGCACAGACATCCTAGAACTATATTTAAATATTTTTATTCTTAATATTAATAAATTGTTATACACCAGATGGAGATGATAGATTCTAAAGTGTTGCTCTTAACAATCTAATCTCAGAAAACATGCTTTGGCAGCTCATTTATTTATTTGTTCACTCACTCAGAAATATTTTGTTTACTCCTAAGCAGTCAGGGGCACGTCAACTTCTCAACATGTATCTTCTGAGATCGGTGTTTCACTCAATGCACTGCGCTTTGTTTGAAACTATCTCTGTCCTTGTTGAAACGTTTGGATTCTAACTGCAAACCATTTATTGTCTTTTAGAGAATAGAGAAAATGTAGTCATTGTGAATGACAAAGCAACACAGAGATCAAATGACGAATAAGCTAAACAAGGGCAAAATAGTAAAACTGCAGTAGATAAAGAACATTGTAAAAATAAGAAAATAATTCATAGTATTGACAGTTAAGTCTTCTATTATTTGTACTTCTTCTTGCCGATTAGCTATGCTCTACTGCTTGCCTCAAAGGCTACGCTAACACAGCAGCCTGGAGTGACCCAAGTCCGATTTGCCCACATATGACCGGTATCTGATCTTTTCATGACAGACTGAACAACACAGATCCGATTTTTTCCAACGTGACCAAGGCCACTTTGCTATGTGGTCCTGAATCCGATACAAATCTGATCTTTTCAAATGTGACCTGTGTCTAAACGGCCATGTTGCATTCATCCGACCTGAACGTTATTAACAGAGATGGCAAAAGTACTCACTTTCCGTACTTGAGTAAAAGTACAGATACTTGTGTTAAAAATACTCTGGTAAAAGTGGAAGTACTGATTAAACTTCTTTACTCAAGTAAAAGTAACAAAGTACAGGCTTGTAAATTTACTTAA